CACTACAGAAATCAGTATGCCTCAGAAAACTTAAACTATAAATTCCATTCTCTTACCCTTCTAGAAAGAGTTAGGATATCATACTACAGTGATTCATGCATACACGTTTATAGCAACAAAATTCATAATAGGTAAATCTTGGAAGTGACCTATATGCCCACCAACACATGAATGGGTAAAAGAAATGTGGTATTTATATACAATGGAGTACTACTCTGCCAGAAAGGATAAACTCGAAGCATTTATAGGTAAATGGATACACCCTGAGACCATAATATTAAATGAAATAAATCAGACACACAAGCTTAAATATTGCATGGTTTCTCTTATATGAAAAAGCCAAAATAGAAATAAAGAGCAAAATAAAAGTTACACAACAGGAAGTAGGGAGATAAATCTTTTGCAAAATGGAGGGGGACCAAGAGATGAAGAGGGGAGGGGAAGGAAAGGGATGAAAAAAAGAATTAAGATGTGTTATGTACACACAACAATTCTCCTTGAGGAATGTAGTATTACGTACTACAGACATGTACTAATTAAGAAATAAAAAATGAAAAAAAAAGATGGATCCATTTCCACAACTGCAGAAACTCCAGGGCTCATCCCAGTCCAACTAAATCAAGATCTCCAGAGTTGAGCACCGTATATTTGTTGCTTAAAATTGCTCCACTGAAGGTCTGATGTACAGCTGAGGTTAAGAAACCTAAGCACACACTCCTGTTCACCTGTCTTGTTGTCAAATATAATCTTGGACTTTATAACCCAGTTTGTTGTTAACCAATTAAAAAAAACTGATCAAGTCCCTTCTTTTTTGATAACTATGTTTGAGTCATTTATCTTACAGCCATATGTAGAAAAATCTCAAGGACCCAGGCTTATGTTTATTCTTTAACATTCCCTTCCCTACTTGATAGCCAGAGAGGCCAAGGGGGAGGGAGACAGGACTCAGGTGGGAAGGCATCTGACAGCTGTTGTCTTGAAAACCTTGCTGATGCTCATTCTCAAGGGTCTTTTGCTCAGAAAGGAGTCCCTAGCGTGAGATCACAGTGCTCACCACTCTGAGGCCTTCCTAGGAACAGGGGTTCAAGCAAAGAGCTGAGGTTGGTTATCTGAGACCAATGCAGAGCTTGTTGAGAATCATAATTTTTAAATGACATATGTGATATTTAGGAAGCAAGATGGATTTCAGGAGCCTACCTACAGATAAAGAATTGCCAGCCAATAGGTATGTTCAACTAAAGAGTGGCTACTTGTGATTGTACATACATATACGCACAAAGACACATGGAAATGTGCACACTTTCTGCTCAGATGTGCACAGTGTCTGTTCCACTGTAGCATCAAGTATATACGTATATGGAAAACGTAGGCAGGATACAGAGCATGGAAAGAGAGCAGGAGATCCTTTACTGTTATAAAGAATTGACTGCATAGGGCTGGGGATTTAGCTCAAGGGTTGGGGATTTAGCTCAGTGGTTCCGCCACCTGCCTTGCAAGCGCAAGGACCTGAGTTCGATCCCTAGTACCAAAAAAACAAAAACAAAAACAAACAAACAAAAAAAGAATTGACTGCATACCTTTTCTCCGTAACTAGATTTCACATGTGCATCATTACCTTTTAAAATCACATTTATTGGGGCCAGGGATTTAGTTCAGTGGTTCCGCTGCTTGCCTTGCAAGCACAAGGACCCGAGTTCAATCCCCGGTACCAAAAAAAATAAATAAAATCACATTTATTGTGGCACCCCTAATGTACTATGAATTTCATGCAACCAAAGATACAAATAAGCACAATTTATAATAGCTAAATATTGGAAACAAACTATATACCGATCAACACATGAATGGATAAAAGAAATGTGGTATTTATATGCAATGGAGTACTACTCTGCCATAAAGAAGGATAAACTTGAGGCATTCATAGGTAATGGATGCACCCTGAGACCATAATGTTAAGTGAAATAAATCAGATACCCAAGCTTAAATATTGCAGTTTCTCTTATATGAGAAGCTCAAAATAGAAAGATCAAAGTAAAAGATAGATAATAGGAAGTAGGGAGATCTTTTTCAAATGGTAAGAGGAAAAAGAGATGGAGGGATGGGGAGGGATAAAAGGAAAGGGGGATGGGAAAAAAAGAATTAAAAGAGAAAACTGGAGATGGAGCTTTTAAAAATGGGAAGGAGACCAAGAGTTGGAAGGAGCAGTGAGGGATGGGTGGGATATGGGATGACAAAAGAATTAAAATGTGTTCGGTACATGTACCAATTTCCCACATAAATGTAATCATTCTGTACTGCAAACATAATGTACTATGTACTAATAAAAAGTACAAATGCAGTGCCTTTCAGCAAATTTACACAGTTGTGCACTCCAACACTGTTTAAGAACTCCTCTAGCACCTTAGACAGATCCCTTTTTCCCATGTAACAGTCAATCTCCATAACTACAACTAGGCAAAGGCAGCCGCTAATCCCAGTCCTATCTGTGTGGAACTGCTCTTTCTGAGCATTTTCTATAAACCCACTCATGCAGTAAGTGGTCCTTTTTGTGTAGCTTTTGTCACTTAGCAAAGTTTTTCTGAGGTTCAAACACGCTATAGCATGTATGAATATTTTGTCCCTCCACAATGTTGAGTAATGTTCTACTATGTAGATACACAATCTTTCTTTTATCCCTTCACCAGTGAGTAGGCATTTTAATAGTTTTCACTTTAGAGCTTCATGAATTATGTGCTTACAAACATCAGACCATCATGTTGTCTTAGTCCATTTTCTATTACTCAAAACAGAATGCCCCATAGTGGGTAAGATACACAGGAAACTATTTTGGCTCACAATTCTGAACTGAGAGGTATATATGGTGATGATCTTCTTGCTGACAGAGTCTTCATGTAGATCAAGGTATCACATAGAAGGGAGACAAGGAGCTGAGCATGATGAGCCCTGACCAAACTGGTTTTTACAGGACACCAACTCTCCACATTAACCCACTGACTTGTTAATCCATTCATTTATTAATGGAATGAATGGGCTAATCCATTAAGGAGAGCAGAGCACTAATTATTTCCTGAAGATCCCTTCTGCTCCTACATCTTATAATTTCAAAATGAGGATTAAATTTCCACATGAATTTTGGAGAGGAAACCCTTTGTCTGTCTGTGAGGGGACATGTATTTTCCTGTCTAAATTCTCCATATTTCCAGGCATTGTGCACAGTGGGATCAGACATCCTGCCTTGTTCTTGCTCTCACGGGAAGAACATTCCTTTTTACTATGTGATGACATTATGTTAGCTGTAGGCTTGTTATACATGCTCTTTATAGGTTGAGCACACTCCCTTCATCCCCCAGTTTGCTGAGACTTTTTATCATTAACAGGTCTTGGATTTTGTCAAATTCATTCATCCCCCCTCGCCCTCTGACCTTCCACCATATGAGGAAACAGTAAGTCCCTCAGCAGGTACCACACAACAGCACCTTCATCTTGGCCTTCTTTGCCTCAAGGACTATAGAAGTAAACTTAATTATACTTATAAATTACCCATTGTGTACTACTTTGACATACATAGCAGGAGGAGACAGAAAAGACAGTGTCCAATTTTTCTCAATTAAAAGCTCAATATCAGAGGGTAAAGGCAAGCACTACAACTTCTCATTTCCCTACCACAGCAGTCAGCATATGAGAGAATGAGGGGAGGACAAGTGAAAAAATTAAAGCCTTGGTGATTGGGTCAACCTTTGATTGCCACTGGCACTATGGAACTTTTGTGGCTAATACCTGTGGAGGGTCAGGTAAAGGCTCGTGTTTCTAGCCAGTACTTTATAACCTCTGTGAATTTCCTGCAATGTGGAATAATTAGCCCTGCTCCACTGCATAGTAGTGAGGATTAAACATTGTATCTCAGCAAGACTTGGTCCTTTAAGGCATGAAATGTCCACTGAGGTCACTGGGACTCTGCACATCACCCAAGCTCTTACAGAAATTAAACAGTAAAGGATGCCAGCTAGAATACAACCTGCCTAAACTCATAAGGTAGTTCAGAGTTTTGCTGTCTGTGTGAACTTGGCACGGTCCCTAATGTGGAACTGGCATTGTTGCTAAATGATAGGTCTATAAGACAGGATGAAATGAGTGAACCATCAGGAATACACAGAAGAGAGTCATAGAAGAGAGACACTGAGTAAACATCCACAAAAGTGCACTGCTATGCTATCCTTCTACACCCTTCCAAATCACTGTCCTGATTTTAGGCCTCTGAGTATCAAGAAAGAAAAGCTGCCCTGGGAGAACCTAGGAGACGATCCTGGCAGAGTCATCTTAACTCTCAAGCTCTCTGACGAGACCCCAAGTTCCAACCTAAGAAACTTACCTGCTCTCACGTCACTTCTACCAGCAGGAGACACAAATTTGTACACCAATGCAGTCCTGGGGCCTCCCTAAAAAGAGACTGACACAATGCAGATTGGTTTTGGCTCAGAAGAAATCTCAGGTCCCTGGCTGGGTGGGTGCACATCACAGGATTCTGTAGGGGAAAAGAAGGTAAATTTAATCATTCAGGCTTCTTGAAATTAAAAGACACATGTCTAAATTCCAGTAGGATTTTGAAATAACTCAATGCTATTCTGGTTCTCAGGAAGCAGGTGCAAAACTGCTGTTCACAGTCACCGACCCAGTGTACCAGGCAGCAAGGAAAGGCTCTTGAAAATCTCATTCAGGGCACCAGTGCCAACATTCAGGGGCACCTCCTGGGGGCAGTGGCCTCTGCTTCCACCCCTATGTACCAGAGGACTTTCTTCCAACCTCACTGCCTGGCTGGTATGAATGCTGGTCCCACTCAAAGAGTGGCTGGATTGTGTTCTGGGCCTGCCCCCTTCCCTTCTTCCAAATCTCCATGGTGCAGAGCTCCTCTTGATACACTCCGGCCTGCTAGTTGGGGATTTCAAGGTAGTGATCTGAGATCCAAAAAGAAACAAAACACTATCGATAACAAACCTGCATTCTAATGTTACTTTCCTTTCACACATATGTTTATTTGGTGTTAGCGATGAGGTACCCAGGTGAAAGTCTTGCAGGGGGGTTAACTACTCAATTGCTAAGCGGCAGGGAAACACATACAGTCAGCTTATCATAGTCATAATAGTTTACACTGACAGTACAATGGTGAACCATCAAGTTCCAATTCCACATCCCTTTCCCACACTTTGTTTGGCAGCAGATGTTTGCACCTAGATCTCAGTGTCAAGTGCCCCCATTTCAAACAGACCTAGCTCTGTTCCTGGGTGGCAGTCAGTAAAATGGTACAAAATCACATGGACATCAACAAGGCATTCACACTACATAGACATCTTATAAAGATATCTCCCTGACAACAAGTTAAGGAGCAAAGACGGAGATGTAGGCTGGAAAATTGACAACACGCGGCATGGGAACCAGATGAGAGGAGGTGGGGAACACTGGTGTGCAGTCTCCTCGGTCCCTGAACGCCTCTCAGTGCTCCACAAATGACAGGCAGGAAAGATGAGGACCTTCTTGGTCATAACACAGGTCTTGGGATTCCTCCTCCGATAGTGACTGTTTGGTCCCCAAAAGAAGCCCACCTCCCAAGAGCTGGCAACACAGTACTGTCTGAATCCCTAAGGGTCTTTGTCCCATGAAGATGGGCATCTCAATTCTCTTCCAACCACTGCTTGAACAGCCTCTGGAACATGTTCTTGCTTTCCTGCTGCCTCTCCAGTTGGAGCTTTTCCTCTGGCTCCTGCTGCTGCTGCTGTTGTTGCTGCTGCTGCTGTTGCTGTTGCTGCTGCTGCTGCTGCTGCTGCACCCCACCTGGCTGAATGCCAGGCCGGTTGGTGCCCAGGCTGAGGGTCAAGCCACTGAGACCCTGCACAAGGGTTTCCCAGGAGGAAGGACTGGGGTTCCCATTCCTCTCCCCAGTGACCCCAGAAATATTTGGCATGTGGCCCTGGCAGTATCGACATTGGCATCTGAATTGATTCTGAGCTCTATCACCTGGGAAAGAGATCCTGGTTTCCCTTTCGACTGGGTAAGGTGCCATGTGATCACGGTGCCTGCGTCTGAAGTGCCCCAGGAATGCTTTCTTCTTCTGAGGGAACCCCAGCCTTTCCCAGTGCTGCTCCAGCAGAGTCTTCTCCCTGTGCTGCTGCTGGAACAGTCCCTCTTGCAGAGGCACAGCGGGGTTGGAGCCAGGACTGATGCTCAGGTCACCGAGGCCCATCATTAGCTGTTCTGAGGAGGAAGGCTGAGAGGCTGCTGCGCCTTCCTGGGAGGTCTCTGTGGTGGGCATCTGGGAAGATCCAGAAATCAACCCTGGATTCCATTTCTGGAGTGGATCCATGGAGGTCTTGTCTGAGCTAGAAGCTCTGCCAGGCACTGGAGTCTAGATCAGGTGAAGCTGGAGGTTTTCAAATAACTAGACTGGAGGTAGGAAAGTTCACGGCCAGAAGATACCAGACTGCAATGAAGGGTGAAAAGAGAAGAAAGAAAACTCATGACTATCCGTCTTACTTAAATCTTTTTTTTTTTGAACCGAGGATTGAACTCAGGACCTTGTGCTTGTAAGGCAGGCGGTGGCACCACTGAGCTAAATCCCTGGCCCCTGTCTTACTTAATCTTTCTGTACCTCCACTTCCTAGGTGTAAAATGGGGTCGATCACATGATATACCTTCTAGGCTACTTCTAAGGATTACAAGAGATAATACATGTCCAGCGCTCAGAGAGCTGATGGTACATCTCAAAAGTTGTAGAAACAAGGCCAATCATTGCAACCATGAGGGATACACAATGATGAAATGTCATGAACAATATTAATTCCTTGCTCTTTTTTTCCCACAGTAGGCAGCAAATGTTGGGGACCCGACCAGAGTTAGATCCCCAGTTCTTTCAATTTATTTTTAAATTATGAGACAGTGTCCTACTTAGTTGCCCAACCTAGGCCCAATTTCTTCAGCATTCTGCCTCAGCTTCCCAAATGCTGGGATTACAGGCATATGCCAACACACCCTGCCCTTGCTGAATGAGTTTTTCTAAGTTGCTGTCTAGAATAATTGTAAGGATGAACAATTTGTGACTAACACATGATTTTCTGATAAGTATTTACATACTTTCATGAAGTAGACTTTTATTAAATTGGAAGTATTTATACCATAGTTACACACCCTCTGGAATTTTTGCCTTTGAGATCCTTGGCTTTGGTCAAAAGGCTGCTCTTGTTACAATAATCTTCTGAAAATTCTCAATGTATATAAATAAGAATTTTTCCTATTAAAAGATAGGAGACAAAATAAAGAGATAGCAAATAAAAACAAAAAGAGTGAGAAACTGAATGAAACCAAACATTGCTTTGAAATGATGAATTTAACTGATAAACTTGTACCAGGAAAAAAGGGACGAAGGAAACAAGTTACCAATAGCAGGAGTCAAAGAAGGAATTTTATTACAAACTCAGAAAACAGAAAAAAGACAACATGGTCATACTACAATAGGGTCCACATAAATTATATCGTTTACATCACATGGACCAATGACTGGGAAATCATAAGCTACCAAAACTAACCAGAAATGAAATTGGGTGCACAGCCCTAAATCTTTTTTTACAGAAATTAAATTTTCAGTTAAAAATGTTTGCAAAATGATCTCTAGGCCCACAAAGTTTTATTGGCAAATTCTATCAAACACGAAATGAAGACATTACACCAATTTTAAACAATTTCTTCCATAAAACACAGCAGAAGGAACACTCCTAAAATATTTTATGAGGGTAGCACTGGACTGACACCTAGAAACTACAGACTAATATTTTGTCTTAGCAAATTAGCACAAAATTCTGTCTTAGCACAAAATTCTTGAACAGAAAATAAGCAATATATGAAAAGAATCATATACCATGATCAAGTGGATTTTATACCAGGAACACAAAGGTTCTTGTTTTATTAATTAAAAATCAGTCAATATAATCCACAGATTGTGAGTTTCGGTGAAGAAGAAAAAGGACAGGATCATATTAATGTATAAGAAAAACTATTTGAGAAGATGGAAAATCCACTGATGACATTAAAAATTCTAACACACTGGGAATAAAAGATCACTTCTTGAACCTGTTCAAGGGCACATATAAAAAAACCGTACACCTAATATCCTACATAATGGTCAATGATTCAATGCTTTCTTTATAAGGCTGGAAAAAAAAACATGGAGATGACCAGTTTTAACACCCCTATTCAGCTTCATTCTGGAAGTCCTAGATTGTGGAACAATGCCAGAACAGTCAGCAGTATACAAATGAGAAAGGAGGAATAATATGTTGTCTCTTCTCATAGATCTCATGACTATGTACTTGGAATACCCAATGTATGAGGTCTAATTAAAAAATATGGTAAATGTTTAAATTTAAAATAAATTATTACAGTAAATCTACATTGCCATTAAATCTCCTCAAAATATTTCCCCTAGGGCCAGGGATTTAGCTCAGTGGTTCCACTGCCTGCCTTGCAAGCACAAGGACCCAAGCTCGATCCCCGGTACCAAAAAAAAAAAAAAAATTTCCCCTTACTTCTAACACACTTATCCAATCATTCTTGCCACTTTCTGAAGGAGTTTGGGAAGTCCTCTGTCATGTTTGTAGTTCTACTGTCATGGGTGCCTTGATGCCCTGAATCAATTCAAAATGTTCACCTTTAACGGTCATTTTGACTTTGGGGAAGAGCCAGAAGTCACACGGTACCAGATGCAGTGAATAAGGTGAATGAGGACATACTGTAATGTTTTTCTACAAGGCTGCATTTCCACTGGATAGAATACAACAACAGTATTCAGTATATTTTTTAACACAACTCGCAAAGACATGAGAGAGGACTTCCAGAACTGTTTCAGAAAATGACAAAAACAATGGGATAAATGTATTAGAATGAGGGGGAGTACTTTGAGGGAGGTTAATGGCAATGTGCATTTTACTGTAATTTTTTTTTAAAAGTTAAACATTCATTATATATGCTGACCACAACTCTATCTCCTCCAAAACTTAGAAATAATGGCTGAGTTTAGTAATGATACAGAACATAAGGCATACACATGTAAAACAACCATATAAGTATGAGAAATCTAAATTTAAAAACATTATTTATAATGGATTCAAACTCAGTGAAATCGTTACATATATAACAAAACATATAGGATTTGTATGCTGAACATTATAAAATGCTCAACATAGAAATCAAAGAGGCAAAATTAATAAAAACATTGTGTTCATGGATCAGAAAACTCAACATGGAAATAAGTGAATTATCCCTGAGTTGATCTGTAGAATTAATGAGATGTCAACCAAAATATGGAACTTCTAAACTTCTGAAACAAGAATGAATTGAAGAATTCACATCATTCAGTTTTAACACTTGTCATAAAGTTGCAGAAATGAAGAGTAGTGCTGGATTAATATTGTCAAAATGGCTACACTCCCAAAACTATTACACAGATTCAATGCAGTCCCAATCAAAATATCACAGAATAATTCACAGGACTAGAAAAAAACAATCCTAAAATTTATATGGAACCAGAAGAGACCCAGAATAGCAAAAGCAATCTTGGGCAACAAGAGCAAAGGAGGCAACACACTACCTGACCTCAAGCTATACAATCATAATACAAATTATACAACCATAATATAAGCATCATGGTACTGAAAGAAAAACAGACATGTAGATCAATGGAACAGAACAGACAATACAGAAACATCCATAGACACATTTAGCTATTTGATCTCTGGCAAAGGGGCCAAAAGCATACATTGGAGGAAAGATACCTATTCAACAAATACGGCAGGGAAAACTAGATATCTGTTTGCAGAAGACTGAAACTGAACCCATATCTCTCACCATGTAACCAAAATAAAATAAAAATGGTTCAAAGATCTAAACATTAAGCCAGGCATTGGTGGCGCACGCCATAATCCCAGCACTTGGGAGGCTGAGGCAGGAGGATCACGGAGAGTTTGAGGTCAGTCTGGCCTACATAGTGATTTCAGGGCCAGCATGAACTACAAAGTGAGATACTGTCTCAACCCTCCCCCCAAAATCTAAACATTAAAACAGAAACATTGAACCTACTGGAAGATAAAATAAGTAAAATATTTAAAGCTGTAAGCGTAGGAAAGGATTTCCTAAACAGAACCACAACTGTACAACAAATTAAGAGCAAGAATCAACAAATGGGATTACATCAAATTAAAAAAGCTTCTGCACAGCAAAAAAAATCAATTAGTAGAGTGAAGAGACAACCTACAGAATGGGAAAAAATTTTGCCAGCTATTCCTCAAACAGAGGACTAATGTCTAGACTATGTAAATAACTCAAAACAAATTAGACCAAAAAAAAAATTAGACCACCTAAAATAAAAGACCCAATCAAGAAATAGACAAGTGAAATATACAGACTCTTCTCAGAGGAAAAAATGCAAATGCCCCAGAAATACATGAAAAAATATTCAATATTCCTGACCACTAGAGAAATACAAATTAAAACAAGGCTAAGATTCCATCTTAGACCAGAAAGAATAGCAATCATTAAGAAATCAAAAAATAACAAATGCTGGCATGGCTGCAGTGAAATACAAACCTTTATATCTTGTTGGTGGAAATATAACCTAATATAACCATTATGGAAATTCCTCAAAAAACTAAAATTAGAAATTGCACATGACCCACCTATCCCCCTTCTAGGTTTCTTCCCCAAAGAGCTAAAGATATTATACTACAGTGATACACATACATACCAATGTTTATAGCAGCAGCACAGTTCAAAATAGCTAAATCCCAGAAACTACCTGTATACCCATCAACAGACAATTAGATAAAGGAAATGTGGTATCCATACATAGTGGATTACTACTCAGCTATAAAGAAGGATAAATTTGAGACATTTGTAGGAAAACGGATGCAGCTGTAAAATACAATGTTGAGTGAAATAAATCATACACTGGGAGTAGTGGCACACACATGTAATCCCAGCACTTGGGAGGCTGAGGTTGAAGAACTGCTGTGAGTTCAAGGCCAGCCTTAACAACACAGTGAGACCCTGTCTCAAAAACAAAAACAAAAAATAAATCATATACACAAGCTTGAATATCATATAGTATCTGTCATTTGAATAAGGCAAAGTATAAATAAAGAGTACAATAAAGGATAGATAAAAGAAGAAAAGGGGATAGGTCTCTTGCAAATGGGAAGGGGTCCAAGAGAATGTAGGTGACAGAAAAGGGGGAGGGGAAGGGGAAATAAGTAGAATAAAAATATGCCATGTCTTTATGACAGGAATGTAATATGCCATGTCTATATTACAGGAATGTAATAACTCCATGAATGTAAATACTACATGTAATAAACATGAGATAAGATTAATAATATCAACAAGAACCAAAATGGGGAAAGGTGATTTAGAGGAGGAGTGCTGTTGTCTTGGCAA